TGTGGCTGCCCCCTCCCTGGAAGGGTTCAAGGCCAGGTTGGACGGGGCTTTGGGCAACCTGGGCTGGGGGAAGGTGGCCCTGCCCGGGGCAGGAGGGTTGGAACTAGAGAATCTTCGAAGGTTCCTTCCAGCCCAAACCATCTGATGGTTCGATGACCAGAGGAACTGCAGGCACACACCGTTTTAGAGGTGAAGCAAGAAGACAGAAAGCAAACAGGGTTTCATCGCTGTTTTGCTGTCCTGGGACTTTTTGTACCAGACTAAATTCTTCAGGGCAGCAACAGCACCGTTACAGGGGTTTTTAAAGCCCTTTGCAAGTTTTAAGCTCTAATTACAATTATAATTGCTCACAAGCAAAAGCAAACTTGGGAGGGTTTTGCTTCAGAGAACTATATTTAGGATTGCCAACAGGAACTACACAAGGACAGACAGGCAGACCCCTGCCTGGCCCAACGCCGCACACACACCATGAAATCCCAGCTCCGGTGAGGGCTGGCCACAATGAGCCCCTTTTGCCACCCAGGAGGCGTGGACGTATCCAGCCTCGTGGATACAGCATCAACCACCTACCCAAAGCAGCTCTTCCACACCCAGGAAGGGATAAAGAGCCACAATCCCGCATCCTCCCCACCCGGCAACAGCACAAGTTGACCCTTTCCTTCCACCGCTCCAACCTTACAAAATTGTTAAGCTGGGAATTTGTCGAATACATTATTAATACTTCTTCTTTTTTTGCTTTGCACCTACACCAACTCTAGCTGCCACTCATCAACCCAGAACCTCATCAAACTCCCGCCTGACATCGGCCCCCGCCTCACGCTCACACGAGAAATGGAGGTCCCAAATTGTTGTGGCTTGCAGGCATCCCCCCCCCCCTCTTTGCACAAACAGGCTGGCACCTGGTAAACTCTATTCCCCGGCGGTAATTGGATGGTGTATTCATGCCGAAGCTGCTCTTCTGAAAGTGCCTGCGTGCACGGCTCCAGCATTAACCACATCCTGAAAGAGACTCTCCGAAGGGCTCAGTTTTCTATTATTACTTGCTAGCTGAGGGGTTTTGTGTAGATAATCATGTTATTTAGATAGGATGTTGGTTTAATTCCCTTCATTACAGGCTCCCAGGGTTGTAATTTTTTTTCTCCGCATGATGTATTCCCCGTGGCACATTTCACTCAAATCAAACACTTTACGCTTTTATTACAAACAATACCCCAGCGTCCCCCGTTATCAGCCCAGCGCACACATGCACACTCCTCGCAGAGATCCAGAGGTCAGTTCTAATGACTAATCGATCTCATTAGCTTTCCTAATTAAAAACTTTACTACCGCAATGGAAGACAAACTACAAAAAAACTGCTTGCATCATATTTGAATGGGATATGAGCATCATTTATCAGCCAGGGCTCGCAGCCCGCGCCCATCGCAACGGGCCGTGCGCTGCTGAGGTTGGTGCTTTATTCGGAGCCACACATCCCACCTACCGTGACCACGGAAAAAAAAAAAAAAAACAGGGCAAACTCCACTGCTGACCCTGAGATGGGCAAAACCTGTCACGGTGCTCCAAGCAGATGGGATCTGGGACCCACCAGCGATCACAATCCTTTAAGAAAGGGGTTGAAAGCAACATGGTTACGAGGATCTTTATTTCTGCTCTTATTTTGCTGCAAGAGGTTATCGAGAATCGACCCTGGGGGGGAAGTTGAAGCGGGGAGGGCAAAAACAGGGATCCTGGAGTGTCTGCGGGAGAATTGGAAACAACTTGAGGATTCTGGAATCCTTAAAACATACAAGCACCACCACATCTTAAACTTTTATATTCTCCAACCGTACCAAATTGCTTCCTATCCGGTTCTGTGTCTCCCCCCAACAAGCGAAGTTTTGCCATTTAAACATGATAGCTTTTTTCCAACCACAATACAAACTGGAAAATGAAGATCACTTCCAAGGAAGTTTCAACAGAAAAAGTAAAACCTTTTATATAAAAAAAAAATCTATTTACCCCCATGGCAAGACAAATGGGGAGGCGGAACATTGACCTGCTAATCCTTCATCCCTTTAAACTCTTGCTAAATCTGAACGCTCCACTTCTGCCAAAACCTGAGCTGAGGAGAGGCAGATATTAACTAACTTAGCCTGCTTCTCAAGCGAACCAGTCCTACAATCACACAGGGCAGGGGAACGCTGCACCCTGAGCCATTTATTTCTGCGTGACTGTGCCATTACAGCAGCTCTCCAGGGACGATCATCAGCTGGCCGAGCACTAACGAGGAAGAGCACAAGTCCACACGGCAAGAGGAAAATGCTGCTGCTTGGGGTGGATTAGGGAAACTGTGAGAAAACCTGTCCACATACTGCTGGGAAAAATAAAGTTAAGAAAGCAGGGTAATTTCAGGAGCGCACGTTGCCAAATTCAAGAGATTATGTCTGCTTTTGGAAGAGGTATGGGATAGAAAAAGCTTCCTATATGGGCATGGGAATGGCACAAAAATGGGGAAAAAACAGAAGTAATTGGCACTGTGGGTCATGACACGATCAGGATCCTACGAGGTCTCTTACCCTCTGTCACCAGCCACCACGAGCCGCCCCGTGCGTGATGCTCGGCGCTGGAGCTCCGGCAGCTCAAGGCCAAGCCGCTGTCACCGCTGCTGTTCAACCCGAGCCGAGGCGAGCTGGGGAAGCAGAGTGACAGGGACATTGATCTTCCAGCACTTGGAAGACAGACGAGAGCAGGAACAAATGCAAATTGGGGAGCAGAAGCTGTAGCTTTGATGCGATGCTGGTATTGTCCCCAGCTCCGGAGGAAAGCTTGGGGAGGTGAAGCAATGCAGCAGGGACATCCTAAGGAGCCCTTTTAACTCACTCAAGAGGAGTCCACTAAGAAAAAAAGCAAAGTAAAGGCCATAAACCTCTGATAATCTGAATTGCTTTTTCAAAGAGAGCCATTCAGAAGAAAAATAAAGAGCTAAGGGCTACTAGTACATGTGCAAAGGTGCCATTGGCATGTCATAACTCCTAATACAGGCTCTGACGCTAG